TTTCTCTCTCTCTCTCTCTCTCTCTCTCTCTCTCTCTCTCTCTCTCTCTCTCTCTCTCTCTCTCTCTCTCTTTTTTGGGCCCTCATTTGCTATTCTGTGAATTTCTTTCCCTTTGTTCAGGATTCCCCTTTCTCTCCTATCTCTCTATTCGTTGTTTCGACATTCAAGCCATACATTCCCAACGGCATCCAGCGGCATCCAATTGGTATGCATTCATCTTCGAACGATTTCCGTTTGATTACCCCTCCCCCCCCTCCCCTCCTCCATGTTCTGTTCGCCCTCCCACTGTCCTGTCGTCCTTACCACCTACTTTCTCCTCCTCCTCCTTCTCCTCCTCCTCCTCTTCACTGCCATGATTATCATCACCATCATTATCGTTGTCGTCATTGGCTATTACAAACATCCCTGTCCCCCTCCTCTCTTTCGTGTTGCCATCCGATTCTCGATCTTATCCGATGCTCCCCCATCGTTTCACAAAGATCGGATCGAGGATCAACGGTCAGATCAAGGATCGGATCAGCGGTCAGATCAAGGATCGGATCGGGTGCAGGATCGGGTGCACAGGGTCGTAATACTGGTTTGCATTCATCCCGTCTTGACCTACTTTTCGTGCATCCGATCTTATCCGATCGTATCCGATTGTATCCGATTGTATCCGATCGTATCCGATCTTATCCGATCTTATCACGCTCTTATCACGCTCTTATCCCGCTCTTATCCGCTCTTATCCGCTCTTATCCGCTCTTATATCTTCTTAATCCGCTCTATCTTATCCGATCTTATCAGATCTTATCTGATTTCTATCTGATTTCTATCCGCTCTTATCCGCTCTTTTCCGCTCTTATCCGCTCTTATCCGCTCTTATCAGTTTTTTTTGGATCTGATCTTACATGATCTTATCCGATCTTATCCGATATTATCTGATTTTTTGATGTTGGATAATGACTGTATCTGAGGTCCATAATTAACCATAGGACTCGATCGATAGCGGTCGATCAGATCTAATCCTGTC